AGGAGAAGATGAAGAGTATGCACTTTATTATGGCGACAACTGGCAGGAACTATCTTCAGGATATGGAGTTACGGATGCCAAGAGATACCGATCAGTTTGGTTCGAGTCAATGAAGATTGAACATGTCAGTCTAGATGCTCATGCAACGAAGCTTTGATCTGTTTTATGTACCAAGCACATGTTCTCGTTAAGCACATGTGTACAAGCTGAAGATCAACAATGCCATTCTGATGTGCAATACATGGAACAAAGCATATCTATATACAGTATCATGTATTCCTTGGATGGTGCTCTTTGTAAAGCAACATTATTGATTAAATATATGAGATCTTTTTTACTATATTGTATCTCCTGTACACTACCTACATTGGCCTCATAACATATGTAGCAACTACTCCCTCCGTTCCATAATATACAAACGTTTTTTAGACTAATGTTCGTATATTATGGGACGGAGGGAGTACTTCAAAAGCTGCAAATTTGTTTCTCCATTCCAAAATCCATTTGTGCGGGGTCACCACCAACGCATATGAAGTGTTGTTGGGATTTAGCTTATACGTTGCTATCTTACAACGCTTATACACATCAGTTACCAACACATGTATATGTGTTGTTGTAGACACTTGCAACACCACCAACGACAATGGATACAAATCCGTTGGTGTAGACCTCAGCAACGCTTATGTGGACATTTGGCAACACATTGATGCGTTGCTCTAGGGTGGTTCCTGTTGTAGTGGTCCTGATAGTATTTGCATATCTATGTTGTAGATCAATAGCTCGCGTTATTGCTTCCCTATGTTTTATATGTGTTCCTAGAGAAAACTCAGTTGAAAGATAATAGTAGCAATGATGCGGACTGGGTCCGTGATCTGAGGTTTATCCTCATTGCTGCACAGAAGAATTATGCCCTTGATGCACCGCTAGGTGACTGACCTATTACAAGAGTAGATGCAGATGTTATGAACGTTTGGCTAGCTCAATATGATGACTACTTGATAGTTTAGTGCACCATGCTCAACAGCTTAGAATCGGGATTTCAAAGACGTTTTGAACGTCATGGACCATATGAGATGTTCCAGGAGTTGAAGTTAATATTTCAAGCAAATACCCGAGTTGGGAGATATGAAGTCTCCAACAAGTTCTATAGCTAAAAGATGGAGGAGAATAGCTCAAGCAGTGAGCATGTGCTCAGACTGTCCGGGTACTACAATCGCTTGAATCAAGGGGGAGTTAATCTTCCAGATAAAATAGTGATTGACAGAATTCTCTAGTCACCATCACCAAGTTAGTAGAACTTCGTGATGAACTATAGTATGCAAGGGATGACGTAAATGATTCCCGAGCTTTTCATGATGATGAAATCGATGAAGGTAGAAATGGACGGCCCAAATAATGTCATACTACTTATGTACGAGAGAAACGCGCATCGCTCGGCCCCCAACCACCCACCGTAACCGGGAACTCCCTGATATTTTCCTCTCCCTCGCTTCTACCACCATTTTTCTGTCATGAACGGCCCAAATAATGTCATGCTGCTTCATCTCCGGCCCGCCCAGGACGAAAATCCCATTTTTCTGTCATGATTTTTTGTCATAGAAGTAGGAGCCCACTAAGGGAGTCCTGGACTAAGGGGTCCTCGGGCGTCCGGCCTGTTAGCCATGGGCCAGACTGATGGGTTGTGAAGATACAAAGACCGAAGACTGCACCCATGTCTGGATGGGACTCTCCTTGGCGTGGAAGGCAAGCTTGACGAATTGATATGTAGATTCCTTTCTTTGTAACCGACCTTGTGTAACCCTAGATCCTCCCGGTGTCTATATAAACCGGAGGACTTAGTCCGGATAGGGGAGACTCATTATCATAGCCATACAAGCTAGACCTCTAGGGTTTTAGCCATTACGATCTCGAGGTAGATCAACTCTTGTAATACTCATATTCATCAATATCAATCAAGCAGGACGTAGGGTATTACCTCCATAGAGAGGGCCCGAACCTGGGTAAACACCATGTCCCTTGTCTCCTGATACCATCAACCTTAGACGCACAGTTCGGGACCCCCTACCCGAGATCCGCCAGTTTTGACACCGACATTGGTGCTTTCATTGAGAGTTCCTCTATGCTGTCGCTAAGAGGTTTGATGGCCCCTTCAATCATCAAAAGTGACGCTGTCCAAGGAGAAAGTTTCCTCCCCGGACAGATCTTTGTGTTCGGCGGCTTCGCACTATGGGCCAACTGGTTTGGCCATCTGGAGCAGATCGAAAGCTACAACCCTGGACATCAGGTCAGATTTGGGAGCTTGAACTACGTTGTGAACATCTGTGGAGACTTGATCTCCGCCGGATTTGAGACCGCGGTTGCTGCTCCCGGTCACCCCGATGATCATGACCTAAATCTGTCATCAGACCGCATCTAGGAGATCGCTCCTATAACCGCTCTGGCCTTAGAGCCGGAACAGACTGCACCATCCAAGGACGGGAGGATAAACCCCACCACGGAGGCCACAGATCCCACGACGTTGGAGCCGCACATAGACTTAACCTCTCACGACGTCTTTGTCACCGAAACTCCGGACTCATCTCCGAACATAAGTTCCGAACCACGTGAGCCCGCGGATGCCAAACTTGATCGTTTATCGATCTTCAAGTTCAGCGCCGCAGACATCTTCCAGCACTCGCCTTTGGGTGATGTGCTAAACTCGTTAAAGAATCTTTCCTTGGCAGAGGACTCACAGCCAAACTATATCTGGTTCGAACTAGGGGCTGGCGGTGGAGAATTTTTGTTCCCACCCGCCACCCACTTCATCGCCATGGTCGAAGATTTGACCGACACGCTTTATTACAACTCTGAAGACATCGACAGTATGGACGACGATGTTGGAGAAGAAGAGGCCCAGAACCCGCCGTTCACCAGACGCTGGACGACCACTTCCTCATATGATGTATACATGGTGGATGCACCAAGGGAGAACAGCAGCAATGACAAGGAAGATCCAGCCGAGGATAAACCTTCCGAAATACAATCCAAGCGCCGGTGTCAGCGGCGCCGCTCTAAGTCATGCCGCAGTAAAGACAGCAACACCGGCACAGGAGAAGATAATACTCCAGAAGGTGTCGAAGACAACGAAGACCCCGTTGAAACAGCTAATGAACAAGATGAACGGGAAGATGGGCAGGCTAGCCCTGGCAAGCAGGCCACGCACAAAGACTCAGAGGACGGAAGTTATCTTCCGCTCTCTGAGGATGAGGTGAGCCTTGGCACCGACGATTTCATCATGCCTGAGGAACCTCTAGAGCAGGAGCGCTTCAAGCGCCAGCTAATCGCCACGGCAAGGAGGCTGAAAAAGAAGCATCAGCAGCTTCAAGCTGACCAAGATCTGCTCAATGATAAATGGACGGATGTCCTAGCAGCCGAAGAGTACGGCCTCAAGCGCCCAACCAAAAACTACCCAAAGCGCAAATTGCTACCTCAGTTTGACGAGGAGGTGCCGAACTACATACCTTCATTGTAAAATGTGGCTGACCGACCACCACGTGGTTGAGACAAAATGACAACTCACACCGAACACCAACCAGCCCCGCCTCAGCGCATAGGCAGAGGTAAATTATCCCATGGTCATACATATGACCTCTGGCAAAACCTGAACAATAAAGCAGGACATACTAGATCAATCCACGGATCGCGAGGGCATACCTCGATCTGCGATGATGGCCACCTATTCGGACGTGACAAACTTAGTCATGCGCAGGCCGAAAACCGCAGACGGACTCCATCAGAGCTACATCGCGATACGGCCCGATATAGAGGCACTGCACACCCTCATTGCTTCACGGATGAGGTCCTGGATAATGAATTCCCAGAAGGGTTCAAACCCATGAATATAGAATCATATGATGGAACCACGGACCCCGCGGTGTGGATCGAAGACTTCATTCTCCACATTCATATGGCCCGCGGCGATGACCTCCACGCCATCAAATACCTCCCTTTAAAACTCATGGGGCCAGCTCGGCACTGGCTCAACAGTCTTCTTGCAAATTCTATTGGCAGCTGGGAGGACTTGGAAGAGGCCTTCCTTGATAACTTCCAAGGTACATATGTTCGACCTACGGACGCTGATGACTTAAGGCATATAGTTCAACAGTCCGGAGAGTCCGCCAGGAAATTCTGGACTAGGTTCTTAACTAAAAAGAACCAAATCATCGATTGTCTGGATGCCGAAGCCCTAGCAGCCTTCAAACACAGCATCCGCGACGAATGGCTCGCTCGCCACCTCGACCAACAAAAGCCAAAATCCATGGCAGCCCTCACGGCGCTCATGAACCGCTTTTGTGCGGGCGAGGACAGTTGGTTGGCCTGTAGCAAAAACAATGCAAGCGACGCCGGCACCCATCTTTATCTTTACCTCTTTACCTACTAATAAACCAGCGATTGCTTCTGGTAGTACGTCATTGGAAATTTTGCAGAAAGTCCCTCTTTTTCTTTAAATTCAACCCACAATCCTTTTTTGAGTGACTCCCTCAGATAACGTTTTGTTTTTGCAGAAACGACCATGTAGTTTAGTATATTCAAGCCGCAGTCCCCACGATCCCCTTCCTGTTCCCCACACACGAGCGCGCGTCACCGCCACCGCCGGTCGCCCCGTCCTCGACTGGATCTGGACCCTCCCTGCCGGGATCCATGTGCCCAGCCACCTGCGCCGTCCCATGCGCCATCGCACGCCGGAGGACCTGCGCCTTGCCTTCCTCGCCATCGAGCACAAAGGCGCTCGATCCAGACGACGCCACCGTTGACCGCTCCTCTGCCTCGCCGCCTTCGCCGTCCCCATGTGTCTCCTGGACATGGAGAGAGAGCACGGGAGGGAAGGAGGAAGGAAGAGGGAGGCGTGGCCATGGTTGGTTCTCCGGCGGCGCTGGATCGGTGCATGGGCGCAGAGCTCCTGCTCGGGGCGCGGAGATCTAGGGAGGGACTCGGGTGCGAGGCTGCGGGTCTATGCAGAGATGGCACTGCTCCTTCAACTTTTGAAGAATGCGCTGAGACATCAGCTAGATCCGCAGGTCTTGCTCCCCAAAATCCATCCCTTCTCTTCTTTGGTCCAATCTGGACTGTTAATTCCGTCAAGAGGTGTGAGTCATCGTTTTACTGGATGCTCTCTCGATCATTTCTTCATATGCATTTTGTGGGTAGCAAAATGTTTTCTCTGTATGGATTTGAAAAAGGACCAAATCTTACGAAATACTTCTTAAATAGGATGTGCGATTTTGATAGTATTTTCTATGAATTTTGGGAAAATTTATGTTATATAGCATGCTTTATTAATTCTTTTAGCTCAAGATAGCTCCCTTGGTGATTCTTTTCAACGAAGGACTTGCTCTCCAGCATGTGGTTTGGTATTTCTTGACTGCAAGTATTCAGCAGCCACAACTGAACTGAAGATCAGCAAGTATTTAAGCAACACATATGTTTGGTTTGCATGTGTTATAACCAGATCAACGAAGTTTCTGCACATCATGAGTAAGAGGTGAAGAAATCATGTTTGCAAATGGCCATCGATTAAACTGCAGTATTTTCCATGAACTGTGGTAACTCTTGCCTAGAAAAACTACATGAGAAAAAGTCTTGCTTCAGGTGAATTTTTGCGTTATCATCTTTTGTACAGGTTGAAACTATCAAGTGTTAACTTTTGTGGTTTGTTAACAAGATTGTTCATCATATCCACTTGTGCAGGTACCATAGCCAGAGTCACTTATTCGGCATGGTTTTATACTGGAATTAACCACATAACTAATTTTGTTTTACCACCTTGACGCCTTCAGTTACATAGAACTTCTGTCAATGCCCAACCGATAATGAACAAGTACAATTTTATAGATGATTCAAGTGAAGTTGTGCAAAGTGAATCAATTCTGCAAGATATCATGCCATACATTTTTCCTTGGTAGCATTAACATGTATAGATCATTTTATTGTGTACAACAAAGTCAACAATACATGTTTGTATAACCATGGCTTTGGTCAATTTCTGGCATCGAGCTTCTGCGAAAATGTGACCAGGAAATAATTATGTCGTAATTCAGTATGGAACCTGACACTAAATAATACTCCCTTCGTTCACTAATGTAAGACCTTTTAGCTTTTTCTTGATCGATTTCTCTTCTTCAGTTGTTGGCTGCCCGTGCAACAATTTTTCTTGAACCAAGTACTTTGCACTATATTTTGCACTTTCTAATTTTGTTCTGTGACATGTTTTTGCAGCCTTCCATTCAAAATTAGATCTGGAGGCCTTCGGATAGCAATAAATTTTACCTTTGTTTGTTCATGCTTCATGAATTTGTTTTCCAACTGATTATTTGTTGTTGCAAATTTCAGATTTTGACAGGTTTGGGTCCATCTATAACATGCTTGACCGGGCGATCACGTGGCTACCGAGCACTCTTATTTTCTGGTCATAAGCTCTTACTAAGGTCTGGTCTCCCACAGCTCCCCTGCACAAAAACATTTAACCAATTTTTTTGTGTGTGCAATCGTTTGAGTTTTTTTTCTTTAGTGGTAAAAAAGAAGTGCAAGTGTTAGGTCAACATAGTATAGAAGGGAAAGTGTCCGCTCGCTCCCTACGGTTCCAAGCACAATTCCAGATTGTTGGCAAAAAAGTAGAGTTCCAGTTGCATGCTCAAGTGTGTGATTGTTGTTATTCATGTAGACAAAGGAACTGATAGTGAAGATTCAATTGCTCGGAGAGCAAATCATGAACCGTGTGCAGAATATTCTCTAACTGAAATATATTTTGTGGTTTGTGTGTGTATCCTGGCCACTTGATTATTGAGTAATGCCGTTTGTCTTCCCATTTGATTTCTCATATTAAGCTACTAATTAATTTTGATAATTCCTTTTATTTTACAATGCTATTGCATATGTTTTCCTATGGAAAATAAACTAGAGTGAATTAACGATTTGTGTTTATTTAGATGTTGTCGGTCGGGTGTCCTCTACTACTGAAGTTTTACCACGATCTGGTGGTGCTTGAGAGCAGAGACGACATACTTTCATCAGCAGTGGCCAAACCCCCACCGCCGCCGGTGCTGTACACCCCTGTACCCCTTGACATCCAGTGCCTCGCGTCTGCCCAACATGAAAACCTCCTCAATAGGTACATCTCTGAATTTTGCCCTTGCTAGAGAAAGTTGAGCATTGTTTTGCCGTAGCTATAATTTGAGTTTAGAAAGTATACTACTCTCTTTTTGACGTCAATTTTTTCAATTGATTTTGCTCCAGGATAGTGCCCTTTATGTGCATGAACTAATGGGTGTGTTCACAACATAGAGCAGCTTCTCCATCCAGTCTCATGTCTTTCTCTTTAGCAGGGATCAGTGAGTACTACCGAGCAAAAAAGTCCTTCTCTTCGTCATATTTCTTCCTTTTCCTTACTACTTTTGTGGCTCCAAATCTCATGATGGCTCTATGTCTGTTCTTTTTGTTGACATGGATTTTACCCTGAAAGTTTTTCTTCTGATCTACAATGTTCTGCCATCTAAATTTTTCTGTATATTATGAATGAGTAGACAGTGGTGCAGAAGCCGAATTGGATGAAATTACGGACTACAGAGAGGTGTAATTATTAATTAATTCATTTCTTTAAAAGATATGCAACTAGCAGAGTTTCTTACTTTTATGATTTGGATTATGACCGAATTGAAGAACTTATGTGGACAGCCCGGCAGGTTTCAGTGGCAAGACTTTTGTACAATTACAGTGGCAGATTTCAGAAATTTGTAGAGCACATGATTTACAAGAACAAGATATTCTGTCAAGGTCTGTACTTTTTATCCATTGCACTAATCTTTTGCTTTGAGCGATTGGCTAAAAAAAGTACTTCCTTTGGAATAATCTATCGTGCACTCACAAGTATAATCTCTCCATTTCCTTATTTTTTGTTCTTCCATCAGTAGCTACTATTTGCCGGTGGGTAAATCACTCATGGTATTTTAATGAGGTTCATTCTAGCCGTTTGCTCACGAGAACAGAAACATTTTATCTATTGGCTAAATGAAAGTACATTCTTTGAATTTGCCACTTTTCCTGCACTCGCATGTATAATCTCTCCATTTCCTGGATTTTTTATTCTTCCATCAGTAGTATTTCTTTTAGCTACTTTCTGCCATAACATAAATTGCTCATGCTATTTTAGTAAGATTCACTACTGCTCTATGCTCACTAGAACGGAAAAAATATATATTATCTGCTTATTTTAGCGTCGCATGTCGCTCACAATATTCATGGTCACAGATAAAACAGTAATAAACTGCCCTTCTCTGTCAAAACTTACGGAGTACAAAGTTGTCATGTCTGATCAGCAAATGATTTGCGCTTCTTTGGCACATATATATCACGGTACAGTATATGATTTTCAAAGTTCTTAATTTTAAATTTTCCTTTTCTGGCATAGCCATGGATATCAACAATCAGTCAAGCAAAGAAATATTCATGGGAGATATACAGGGATCCACAAGAATGTGCACCGTGTAGCACTACCCTTTTGTCATTGAGCCACTATCACATTTTGGCCAGCAATCAGTTCAAGCAGTTCTCGGCGCCTTTAGTCAGAAGCTAGAATTTACAACTAAACGAACATCAAGCAACAGAAGAAAGGGTGGCCATCTCTTTTTCTTGGCACCAAGATGTCATACAAGCATTGAGACATCGGAAAGACATAAGAAGTTTGTGTATAAATGATTAGCCTTTTAGAAGTATATGGCGTTGCTTAAACTATGTTTCTTTTGGCAACACCATATGAAATGGAGAAAGTTTTAGGTTTAGGATAAAATTGTTCTAGATTTTGAGAAAATTGTTACAGATCCATGAGAAAAATGTCCCAACTTTAGGAAATTAACTATCCATATTTTCGGTTATTGGTTAATAAGTTGGCCACAATAGTTTTTTTATTTCTAAGCAAGCTGGTCACAATAGTTAACCCAATATATTCCTGGTCTTTATGTTTCTCAGACTACATATGCCTCACATTAATACCGGACAATAAGTACACCATCGTGTGTGGAGAGCACCTGCAACCGCGGCGGTTGGAATAAAATAGCAAAGCCGCAAACCAAACAATGCACATATCCAGGTTTCTTCCCTCCCTGGCGTCGCCCCTGCCCTGGGTGACTCGGGGGCCTCCAACCCTAGGCACCACCGCCACCCTCTCCTTCTCCCCTCCTCGTGCCGCCGCCGGGTGACGCCGCCGAGTGAAACCCGCGTGGCAGACGGCGGCGGCGGGGGGACTCCCTCTCCCGCCTCCCCTTCTTCCGCGGGCGGCGGATCTAGGCGGTAGGCGGCGGTGTCCTGCGGCGGTAGGCCTCGGCAGGCGGTGGCGGCTGTGCGCGGGGCTGACTCCGGGGCGGCGGCGTCGGCTTGGATCCATCGCGGATCTGACCTGTGGGCGCAGCCTCGGCCTCCCCTGCTCGGCCGGCGTGTCTCGGTGGGGGGGCTTCCCCGTGCTGAGATCTGCCAAGCGGGATCATCCAGATCTCGGCAAGGACGGCGGCGACCCGTGCATGAGAGATGGAGGTCTTCGATCAGATCTGGGTGAAAACCTACTATTGACTATTGCCAAGGCCGACGATGGCGATGATGTCTGCGCCGTTCCCTTCCTGAAGGCATCGTCGTGGAGATGTTCAAGGCCACTCTCTGCTATCTCCTGGGAAAACCCTAGATCAGTAGATCGGATGACGGCGGCTCTCTGGTGTCGTTTTCCACCATGGGGGTGTCATTCTTGGAGGTGCACACGGGCTCGAGGGACTAGAGGACAGTGACTCTGGTGGAGCGGTGCTTCATCTTTCCCATTGAAGGGGCGGATCTCGGCGGCGTGGTGCTGTTGAGACTCGTCGTCTAATGCACGGAGATGGACTCGCGCAGGAGGAGGTTGCTGTCTGGCGTCATGGTGACGTCGATGGCTGAGTGGCCAGACAAGGTAGAAGCCTCAATATGACCTGAAGACGGACTTGTGGAAGATGGCGGCGACGACACACGAGTGTGTCTGACCGGATTGTGTCCCAGACCCGGTATGTGGCTCGGCTGGGGCTTCCGAATATGTTTCGGCTGCCGGCTTTTGATGTTAGGCCTAGGTGAGTGGTTTGGGTAGTGGCCCAGCTAGCACCCCTTCATCATTTTGGATAGGAGTAGCGGCATGTGTTGCCAAGATGGTGGATTCAGGCACATTGTTGTAATACATTGTAAGATCCTCGAGAATAATCAATAAAGTGGCCGTATGCATCTCCCAGATGCAGAGGCCGGGGTTCATCCTCCTTTTCTAAAAAAAACAATGCACATATTTCTTAGCCATTTTGCAAAGATGGTCTGACCCAAAGCATAATTCTTGATGTTGAGAATAGTTGATGTGGGTCATAAATCAAACAATTAGTCGTGTAATAGGCTATGCTTATAGGGTGTGATGAATTATTTTCTCCCGGTGCAATGCACGAGCATTTTTGCTAGTGAAGCTAAAACTAGGAAAGACAAGTCTCGACTCAACAGATACAAGCGCCGAAACAACAGTGGTAACACCGAGGACACGACAGTCAATGCCGGATTCAGGGGCTCTAAGTCCGGTCAGCGGAAGAAGCCGTTCCAAAAGAACAATTCAGGCCCATCCAGCTTGGACCGCATACTTGATCGTTCATGCCAGATTCATGGCACCCCAGACAAGCCACCCAATCATACAAATAGAGATTGCTGGGTTTTTAAACAGACTGGCAAATTGAACACCGAGAATAGAGAAAAGGGATCACAAAGCGATGACGATGACGAAGATCCCCAGCAACCGAACACAGGAGGACAGAAGAAGTTTCCCCCTCAGGTTAAAATGGTGAACATGATATACGCTACCCACATCCCCAAGAGGGAGCGCAAGCGTGCGCTCAGGGACGTCTATGCGATAGAACCAGTTGCCCCAAAATTTAACCCATGGTCGTCATGCCCGATCACCTTTGATCGCCGGGATCATCCGACCAGTATCCGTCACGATGGCTCAACCGCACTGGTCTTAGACCCGATAATTGATGGGTTCCACCTGACTCGCGTCCTTATGGACGAAGGTAGCAGCCTTAATCTGCTCTATCAGGATACATCGAGAAAAATGGGCATTAACCCATCTCCGATCAAGCCCACTAGGACTACCTTCAAAGGAGTCATACCAGGTGTAGAGGCCTGCTGTATGGGCTCAATCACATTAGAGCTTGTCTTCGGATCTCTGGACAACTTCCGAAGCGAGGAGTTAATCTTCGATATCGTCCCATTCCGCAGCGGCTAACATGCACTGCTTGGACGAACCGCGTTTGCTCGATTCAACGCAGTACCACACTATGCTTATCTCAAGCTCAAGATGCCCGGTCCGCGCGGCATCATAACGGTTAATGGAAATACGGAGCGCTCCCTCCGTACAGAAGAGCACACAGCTACC